TTTCATTTACTTTTCTTGATATTACATTTAGTTGTACTTGTCATATCTGTCTGCCTCCTTATCTAAGTACCTACCTATATGCGCATATGCAAGTATGGAAAAATACCTGTTTTTATCTATATTTAAACCCACATAAACGTAGAAAATCACAGAAAACATAAAACCGAGTTACCCAACAAACCTCATCACCGGTTCCCTCTGCTGCTCCAACACCTCAACGTTGCAGATGGTCAACACATTGCTAGGATCCGACTCTAAGCTCTGGATGGACAAGTAGCGCCCACTCACGGCTTGAGGGAGGCTGAACACCACCTCGGCCGCCAGAGGGGCTTCTCCCGGGTTGGAACCTATCACTGGGTTGAGACGAAACACGTGGTCCTTGGTTTCATTCGAGGTTTCACACTGGGGACCTAGATCGGGAGAGGCTGTTGAGGTAGTGACTTCTGGTTCGGATGTTGAGGTCGTAACTCCTGGTTCGGATGTTGGATGGTTGAGGTCGTAACTCCTGTTGGGATGTTGTTGCTGGTTGGGATGTTGTTGTAACTCCTGGTTGGGATGTTGTTGTAACTCCTGGTTGGGATGTTGTTGTAACTCCTGGTTGGGATGTTGTTGTAACTCCTGGTTGGGATGTTTGGGGTTGGGATGTAACTCCTGGTTGGGATGTTGAGGTCCCAACTTCTGGTTGGGATGACTGGGGGGTTTCTGTAGGTGTTGACTGGGTTGGATCAATATTTCGTTTGCGTCTCTTTACTGTTGGCCCCTGGGTTGAAATGGCTTGTTCCGTTGAAGTTCCCAAATGCTCTGTCGTACTTCCTTGATTGGCTGAGGTTGAGATTCCTGGACTTGTTGAGGTTCCCAATGAATTTCCTTGCGTGGTTGAAATTCCTGGAGGATCTGTTGTGTTAAATGGAGGATTTGTCGTGGTTCCTGGAGGATTTGTCGTGGTTCCTGGAGGATTTGTTGTGCTTCCCGAGGGGCCTGCCGTGCTTCCCGGTTCTGTCGAATTCACTGGAACTGTAGTTTCTCCTAGACCTGTTGAGCTTCCCAAAGGATCAGTCGAATTTCCCACGTCGGTCGAGTTCCCCGAGTCAGACGCGTTCCCTGCAAAACCCTCCGGATAATCCTGATCCAACGAGCCGTGCAAGCAAGTGTCATTCGAAACAGCGAGCGGATCCGAGGAATTCCCGAGGCGAACCAACACCGAGAGGAACTCGCTCCCGAGGCCATCCTGCCTCGTGTGAATCCTCACCTGGGACACTCGCTTCACGCGCCCGAGGTCGGCCATCCACCAGGGATTCGGTTCCTGGCCGGAGGAGAAGCAGAGGGAGACGTTCCTGCCGATAAATCCGTCGACGGCCTTCCTAGCGTCGGATCCTTGGCTGGTAGACGAGGCGGAGGTCATGACGGGAGGAGATGAACGGGGATTCGTGACCCATTTTGTGATGCAGGTGTCAAAGGTCACGGCGGAGGGGTCGTCCGTGCCAGCCCAGTGCCCGGCCACTTTGGTCTCGTACATTTCGCACATAGGACCTGCCGTTGGGGATCCGAATACTTGAAAGCTAGGAAAGTCTCGATTCAACGAGATTGCTATTTGCTCTGAACGAGTGTAGCAAAACTAGAGTAACTTTAGGGTTAGTATGAATTACAGCAAGTTGTGAAGGAACTCGAGTTAGTAAGAAGCAACCTTTTTTCCTCCTTGTTTCTCGGTAATTTGAAATATTATCCCACCTAATATGGCCCGATAGTCTATTGGGTATCCATCAACAGATTAGCAATTCCAATTAGCAACCATATATCACTTAAGAGAAAGAAAACAGAGGGAAGGGAGAGGGTGGATAAGGAGGTGGAGGGGCCAGAGTATTGAGAGAGACCGGGCAAGAGAAAGAGATACGAATTATCCAACTATATAAAACAATGTTGCTATGAATGTACAAATAATTCCAAACAACTTATTTCTTTACTGACCTGCCTGACACGCGAGACGACAGCAGGAGTTCCAGTTGCACTGCTGAGCACACGCAAAACTGTACATCACATTTGACAAGTTCACCGACGTCACAAAAGCGTCCATGAGCTCGGGGTGGAACGACGGCGCCACCTCCACAGGGCAAAAAGATGAGAGAAATGAGTAGAAAAAATATTATGAAAATAAAGCGTTCTGAATGAAATATTTGTGTGTTTTGTAGCAAATGAACAAGTGGTATATTTGACACTTTTTGTTTTCCAAATTTGAACTTTACACACAAACACACACAAACATACACACACACACACATATGTGTGTGTGTGTGTGAGCGTGTGTGAATAAAATAGAGGTACTGAAGGGCATTAGTATGGAATGTGGAAATCAGTGATGCGTAATTCACGGTACAAATGACTGAATAAATAGAATGGGTTCATTGTTTAGGAAGTTACACAAAAATATATTTTAGAAAGTATACTGTGATTCCAGAAAATATCTTCAAAAATTCTCAAAGATTATTGCTATTAAGCCCGCATT